GCCAGGCTAGAACATAAAAAAAGAATCACTTCATGGGAACAAAGGGAACTTACAATTCTTTTCTGTTTTCTACTGGCAAAATGCAATTGCTTTTGCAAGGAAAGGTAAAAAAAGAGTCACCTAAGTGAGAAAATCAAAGTGATTAATTTCAGCTTGGTCATCTGCAGTTTTTCCATTAGACAGATATAAAATAGCACATTCCAGAATTTTCTTTTAAATTATACATGTGGTAGGTAAGGATTTAATGTATTATAAAAGCTGAAAGAAAATTATTTGTAATGAGAAAGCAGAAACAAAATTGTTTACCATGTTAAAATTACACCTTTTAGCCTTTCAGGAATGAAACATTAAGTAATAGAAAAATGCAAAGCTTGGATGGACCCAAACCAACCATTTTCAGGATGCTACTTTTAGAGGACATTTGCGGCCATTATCTTTTCATTCCAATTGAGAATATTAAGGTTTCATTTACAATTTCAGAATTTTCCATGGCACTGAAATTCTGGTTCCCAGGCAGCTCTAATTTTAAGTAGATTATGCACTGTGGATAATAAGGGCAGAATATTTACTACTTACTCCTGCAAGGGTAATGTTGGAAAGGAGGGTGCCGTCCTTGCTGCTGTTCTGTGGGGGCAGGCAGGACCCCAAGTCAGGGACAGGATGGTGCAGGTGATTTTAGCCAGCACAGGCAGGGCTAGAAGAAGAAATGAAGACATCTTAATTTGGATTGTGTGAGAAAGAAGAGTGTAGGTGCAGAAGGAATAATATAGGTTGAAAAATGTGCGGTTTAGTCTATCTAGCTATTTCATCCCTTTCCGCATCCCAGAATTAGCCATTCATTAAAATCTCTTTCACCATTATTCTTGCTTATTTTATTCTGATTTTTTAGATCCTCCTATTCATAAGAATTCCTATGATAATGAATGTGAATAAATCCAGATCAAACAGACAAATCCAAACATCCCAACCTTAGTATATCTTTAAAGTACTAACCAGTGTGCTCTATCTCACCTTAGTGAGAGGACTGACTCACTAACTCGTTTCCACACAGCAGAGAGCTGATTGCCTTCATGTTATGCTTGAATGGGTATGGGGACATGTAAATTCTCGATTCAAGAGGATTTAAACCCCATACTGCCCATTAGTGAAGAGAAATGAATTTTGCTAGGGCTCAAGCTGCAGAACATTTGTTAGTCAAGTGGAAGGTCATTTTCTGTTATCTACTGTGGAGTGAGATTTTCAAAACCTCAAAGTGACTTAAAATTACAAGGTATATCTACTCCTCCGTGACTGCTTTTACTAGAGCATAAACATAACTCTAAGTCCCACTGGCTTTCAAGCAGGCTTTTAGCTCCCAAGTATTGAAGACACTTCTAGAAATGGGACATTATCTCCTAAATTACAAAGACATTTTTGCAAATGTGTCCCATGATGCTAGCTAGCACTGCTGCTCTCCCGCTTGGTCTACAGAAGTAACAGAACAAGATCGTAATGGATATTGTCTTTCCAACCACTGGCTTCTGGTAAGCAGCAACAGGCATTGGCTCAAAATCTAATTAGGCAATATGGTTATCCAGAGAAACCCAACGTGTCCTGTTTAACCTATGTTCACTGCTATTGAGCCATAGGGATGTCACATGGGATCGCATCTCCTTGTGTGATGTTTCATCATGACTATTATTATATTTTTTATTGTATTGTACTAGCCTCCAGGAGCCTTCATGACTGGCTAGCACTCGCTTGTGTTAGATGCTACACAACCACAGAGCAAAAGGACGATACCCTGTAGAGCACATATGCAGAGTGTTTTCTCCGCTGCGTGTTTACAGCAGTTTAGATGCACAGCTTCTAGCCCCAAGTCAATCTAGCAATAAGGGCAAGGCCTAGCCATGCTGGCAGTCATAGCAAGCTGTTTATCTACTCTTCTTTCCTCCACTGCCTATGAGAGCGAGCACTCACCTCCTCGCAACATCTCATGTCATGAGGAGAAATGACCAGCACCAGCAGCAGACACAACCCAGATGAGACTGGTGCATGATACAGATGTGCACCCTGTCTCATCTGGCTCCCATGGGAAAGAAGTTACAGCTCCCTCTCCCTCTTTACCCAGCCCTCCTTGTTACCTCCTAGGTACTCAAAAGTAACTCATAGTTACTTTTTCATGCTGTCAGTGCCAGGTGCGGAGCCAGGAAGCATAAGCCATCTGCAGCTGACAGCAGGCAGCCCCCGTGGGATAAGGCAGTAATGAATATCACCAGGATGTCGAGGGTCTAGAGGCAGGAATCCGGCTGACTGCCGCTGAAGGGATTGAAACAAGTCACAGAAATATCCCAGCTTCGTCAGGAAGGAAAGGCTATATAATTTGCAGCTGGAGATGAATGTGATTATTTGCCATGCAAATGGATTTTGCCAGCTCAAAGTGGCCTTCATCAGCAGAGATTGTTGTATTTGCCATTATCCGGTTACTTTTGTTTAATGCCTCTGTGCCTTTTCTGAGCACTTCCTTCCCTGAGCACACATCATCCAGACTAATTAAAGACAGGTATTTTTTTCCTCTTCCCATTAATCCGAAGACATGTGAGCTGAATCCATCGCTGCCTCCTTCCCTGATCCCTCTCCAAATACGAAGCAAAAGGTAAAGTTGTTTGCACTGGCAGTCCTGCAGGCTGAGTATTCTCTGCAGATGGGAAGCATGATGGTCACATTTATCTCACCTAACTTTAGCTACTTAAAAATTAGCTGCTTAGTCCAGTCTAGTCATCCCAGTTCCTTCAAAATTCAATAGAGAGTGAGGTCTGCAGAGGGACCTCCTCCCAGCATGAGCTAGATGGGATGAATCATCCCTGGGGGTCCCTATTCAACTCCAGAGCTTGTTTGGTGAGTATGTCTCTCTTAGTTAAATATAGGGTAGAAGAACAGTGCCCATCTGCCTGTCTTTCCTACCGCATCCAGCACTCCCAAAACAACCCTCTGATCCCCTCTTTGGCTAGCAGTGATGGGGAGGCATAAAAAGTAAGTAATCTGGGATGAGGGACCATCAGTTTGCTTAGCCATGTTGCTGCAGTTGCCAGTGAAGGAGGAACTTTGTGTGAGACTGCCGGGTGGGGTAACCAGCATCATGGTTGGAATGGTTATGGTTGGAAACCATGCCTGAAAAAAATCTTGTCATACCTTTCCTGCTTTTTAAGATGGGCATGATTAAGAAAAGTATTTGTTAACTCCCTAGAGTATCACCTTGGAGATGGGTCCTGTAGACTTCCCTGAAAGACCTTGAAAGGTGGATACCCTTCAAAGTCATTCATGGAGCTTGGGTTTGTGGTGAGATGGACTTTGCTGCCCAGTTTCAGAAAAGCCCATGGAAGAAGAAACCGGAGGGGAGGGCAGAGGCTCTGCTCCGAAATGAGGCCCATGTGCAGAGGAAAGCCCGACCCACCTCTAAACATAGAAATCCTTTCAGTCACATCTGTAAAATACACTGCTTGTCCTTTGTGTCGCTGTGCTGTGATCATTCTCCAGGAGTGTGGGGCTGACAGCACATGTGGTGGGATGGGTCTTATTTGCACGTATTAAAACACGTGCTTTCTGCTCTGCCCCATGTGCTGCGTGTGTGGGAGCTCAGTCGCTGTGCCTGCTTTCTGCTGCGAAGTGATCTCAAAGAGTTTTGACTAAAGAGATTTCAGGGTGGGTTGATCTAAACAGGGAGATGACATGATGTCCGCGGGAGCAGCTCCTGTCAGATCAGCAGCATTTAAAACCAGACTGGACAAACTGGAAGGGTGTCACCTAGATAAGTTGTGCAGCTGCTGGGCTATGTGGGTTGAGGCTCTTTCCAGCTCTAATTTTGGTAATTAGCAGGGTGTGGTTTTTCCCTTAATGGAGCGATGGAGCATGCAGGTTGGTTTGTCGTGTTAAACCACAGTAAACCACAGCAGCTGGACCCAGGGCTTCACGCAGACCCAGACACAGCATGGCATGCACTGTCATGACCCAGTCCAGTGCCCTTAGCTGGACTGGGATATCTCTGTTACCATCCAATAAACCATATTTCTGTGGAGTGACTCAGGTCAGCAGAAGGCAACCCTGAGGCATGGTTCCCTATGGAGAAATAAACAGTGTTTCTCACAGGCAGGTCCTCCCTCGTCAGACTGTCTGGCTTTATAAAATAACATTGTAAGTTACCTTCTGTCTGGGACAGTGCTCTGCATCTAGAGAAGGAGCATATAAATAATTTAGACAGAATGCATGAATACTGACATCACTCTAACATTCTATTCCACTCTTAAAAATTATTTGAAAAGATTTTAATATAAATTAATGCCTGCTTGACTTATTTGCCTCTATAGCTATCCAGTGGTTACAGATAATTGGCTATTTGATTGCAGCAAGTGCAAAATACCTAGATTTTAAGGCGTTATTATGAACATCTCATCTAACCATCTGCTGAATACAAAACAGGCAATGTCAGTAGGCAAATTATTCATTAAAGCCGTAGCTCCTCTCTGAGCTTCAGTGTCTTATAGAAAAACACAGAGCTTTGATTTTAAACTTCAGGTGATGGAGGAGCTGACCTAGTGATCCCAGCAGGTCTGTATATCTGGTCTGGCTCCATGCTCGTGCTCCTTCCCGCTGCCGGTACATGCCACAACACAGACCTCGCCAGAGCTGCTGTTTGGATGGGCATTGCCCTGTCCAGCTAAACCTTCCTCATAGTTGTCTCCATGTCTTAATATTATTATTTACTCTGAAAGGAATTGAAAATCGAAGCAAATTCAATCAGTTTATTGCTGATTTTTTTTCACTGTGAATTTTTTATCCCCCCTCTAATTACATTGACACTTTGAAAAGTAGATTGAGAACTGAGACAGACCTTTGGCTTCCCTGGAAGTAGCTGGAGAACATGTCTTTGGGTAAATGCCCAGGTAAATGATGGGTCTGCAAAAGCAAGCTGCACCCTTTGGACCTTCACACCCCTCCTGTCTGACTCTCCTCTCTGTGTCCAGGTCTCTCTCTGGCCGCATAGTCGGTGGCGTCTGGTGGTTCTTCACCTTGATCATCATATCCTCCTACACAGCTAACCTGGCTGCCTTCCTCACGGTGGAAAGGATGGTTTCTCCCATCGAGAGTGCAGAGGACTTGGCCAAGCAGACAGAAATTGCCTATGGGACCCTGGAAGCTGGCTCTACTAAAGAATTTTTCAGGGTAAAAAGTAAACATTAATGCAAACATTTTGATTAGCCCCTTGTTTGAGAAGTCCTCCAAGCCCGTCCTCCCTCATCCTCAGCACAGGTCTGTTTGTAGAAGCAAGAAGTCTCTTGCTTCCCCTTACCATGTCAGGACCTGCTGAGCTTGTCCTTTGAACAGCAAAAATCCAGTTTTCCCTGTGCTGTGCAGAAGGCTGGCTGTGTCTCCAGTACGTGTGATATTCTGCAACTGTAAACACAAATATGGAATATCCATGTGCTTCCCCACATTACCGAGCAGCTACTCTGAGCAGCTCCAAAAGAAACCATCTCCTGATTTCCAGCTTGGTTTGCCCTTGGTTAGATCTGCAAAATGACTTGCCATACACAAATCTGTGGCAGAAATCAGGTGTTGATCTGGGCCCTGATGAAGAAATGGCAAGAGGTTCATTAACATGCCATTATCCCTTTTGCCTTCCTTGGTCCATCCGATATGTGGGTCTGCGTTCAGTCCAAGCTGGAAATCTCAGCTGGCACCCAAACTTCTGTTAATGCTTCTGTTGGGTTTCTGCTGTCCTACGCAGCGATCCAAAATAGCAGTGTTTGAGAAGATGTGGACATACATGAAGTCAGCCGAACCCTCCGTTTTTGTGAGGACGACAGAAGAGGGGATGATCCGCGTGAGGAAGTCAAAAGGGAAGTATGCCTACCTCTTGGAGTCCACGATGAATGAGTACATCGAGCAGCGGAAGCCTTGTGACACCATGAAGGTGGGAGGTAACTTGGACTCCAAAGGCTATGGCATTGCAACACCAAAGGGGTCTGCACTGAGGTAAGTAGCTTGGATTTGCTTTCTTTTGCCAAACCACCCAGCAAATCAATGCAATGTATGCACACAGTTCAATCTCCATTGCCATGTTAATCACAAAAGCTTGGGGCATGGAGGTGGGGGAGGTGGAGGGAAAGGGATATGAAAACTCAGTGGGACGTGCAGGGAAGTAAAACACCCAGCTCCCGTTGAGCAGCAATGGGAGCTTCGAATTATTCAAGCCCTGCATTTGGAAACGATCCTGGCTGATCCACTCGCTATGAATGTGTCTGTTGTATTAGGTGATGGCAGGGAGGCTGCTGTGGTGTAACCATTGGTTTCACAGAGCATTATCTGGAAGGGACGCTCATCCTGTGCCATGTGAACTGCACAGCTTTGCAGAGTATGGTATTACCCTGGCTTGGATCTATGCTTGCAGAGGGAGTTCTCATGGGGAAAGCATTTTGGTGTTTCCTAAAATGAAATGTTATTTGGGAGAACTGGGAAGCCAGTTTTGACAAAGCCCTGCAAAAGGTGTGCATTTTCATTCAGTGAGTCAATTCAGACCCTGGCAAGTGCCAAATTTATGGCACATCCAAAGGGGCACAAACCCTGCATTTCTGAGCCCAGACCTGCAGCTGTCACATGCCTTTGCCTACCGTCATAAGAAGTATCTTCAGAGACCTTGCTTTAAAAAGGACAGCTCTTAAAAAGTACAGACCCAGATCTGAGCCAGTAGCAGAGCTTGGGCCCTGCACACAGCCATACTCCTGGACATGAGCTGGCCCCCTGCAAAGTGCATCATGCAAAATGACCTGCTCAGAGCAGCATTACCACAGTCTGCACACTGCGATGATGACCAGAGTCATGCCAGGGGTGCTGTTCCTTTTGGTAGCAGCCATGCAAGTTACTCACGTTATAATCATGAGCAATATGAGTTGTAAGGTTTTAGTGGGACTAAGTCCTCAGAAGCCATAGCTTTAAGTAATCCAATCAATGGTCCAACTCATTTAGTTATTTATTAAACATATTTTGATCAAAATATTTTGATCAAAATCATATGTGTGGCCTTATACTTGCTTGCTAACATAACCCAGTGCAGAGGCATTTAATTCATAGTCTCTGGATTACTAGAAACCAGCTGAGCATTTGCTGATGCATTAGTCTGGTCACACAGCTCCCAAGCCAAAGCCAGCCCAAAGAATCGAAAATCTATCAGCTGGTAGTGGATGAGGCCCAAGGATTTTGATTACTACATTTATTAAGTCAGCTCAAATTGGATTCAGCACTTCCCATATCAGCAATTGCTGGAGGTAACTTTAGAGAAGCTCATGAATGCAGTGCAGGTGGTCCAGAAGGCAATTCTTGCATCCAGCCTGGTTCAGGCTCTGAAATGACTTGGGGCTCTCCAAGTGAAGGTGGATATATTCTCACAGCTTTGAGATGTTTTCTGTTGCACTCTCTCCAGTGTTTGTTTTCTGTCTTGCAAATACAGAAATTATGATACAGGGGTGATTCTATTTATTTATGTATTTAAAAATCAATCTTTTATCCTAATTTTCATGTTATAAAAACAAACAGGAACATCCTACCTGTCTTGTAATTTTTGGCACGTGAAGGAGCCATTTATCATACTTCTAAGAAAAATAAAGAACAACAAAGAAAATTGGATCAATCATTTTCATTTTGCAGCATCAAAAATCCCTCTGCTAGGCATGATTCCAAAAATTCCTAACATTTCTTTCTGTTTCCTCTTTTTCATCCCGGCTGCATGTAGAACAAATTTCTTATCGGCCTAATGGCAAAGGAGGAATGCTTGATTTTCCATCCAATGGTGTTTCTTTGGAACAGTTGCTGTCAGTTTTTGTCCCATTATGTTTGTTTTGTTCCTGTTGTATTAATTGTTTTAATCTTGGCAGTTCCCTACAGTCATCATGTAGTGTCTGTTTTCCCCTGGGGGTCCTGCATGTGAGAGGTTGTCCTGAGCAAGGTGACATTCATGAGGCATCTGTATAGCACGGTCAGCCTGTCTCTTATTCAGGCTTCATCTTCACTCACTTCCATCCACAGAGTAAAAGCTCTGAGCCAGGTTTGGAGGTACACATGAGCCAGGCCTATCTTCGATCAGGTGTTTTAGAAGCTGGGCTGCATCTTGACTTTTGCTGCGACCTGTCCCTTTTGTAGCTAGACAGGTTTTCCTACATTTAGGATAGCTGATTAGGAAACGATCCTAGCGAGATGCTAAATGAGACTTCACCATTGGTTTTCTTGCATGGGAAACAAGCAAGGATGTTCCCTGGCATGGGAACACAATGCCAGGATATTGCCACAGATGAATGAAAACAAAGTTGAAAATCCAGAAATAGTTCTGTGTGTTGTAGCAGGTGCAAACATCCCTCCCAAGCCATCAGTTAGGTCTCTTGGGCTGCTAAAAGAGCTTGCTTCTTCCTCCTAGGTGAATCTGGCTTTGAATATCTTTTGGCCTCCAGATGTTAAAATTCAGCGCATTTAGTCATGTCTGAGAAGGGCAATGATGGGAGGGCAGAAATTACACCTTTCAACACCAGCTAGTTCAAGGTGTGATCCTGTCTGACATGAGTTAGTTATGCAGCTGCAAAACCCATCCATTTACCTGGCAGGAGCTCTTCTCCACTGTTGGACAAGTGATCAAAAAGAGGGTAAAAAGCCAAATTATCCCAAACAGAGGAAAGAAAACCCAAGAAATCCCATGTGAGTCTGGACTCAAGGAATGGGGAGGTTTTTGAGATGGACATCTGGGAGGGCAAGTTCTTCAGAGCAGCCAGCCTGACAGCAAAGTTCCCTAAAATACAAGTCGGTTTTCCTAGGGTCTGTGAATAAACACAAAATGTTCCCTGTTAAAAACCTACCTCCTTTCGGGGCCCCAGACCTCTCAGTCTTTCCTCAAAATGCTCTCAAGATGAAGTACGGTTTGTTCTGTTTATCCCCTATGAGCTGAAGAGAGAGACAATTAACTGAAACGAAGCTTCCTAGGAAAGATAACACATAATGCTTAGCACATGGCCCCAGAAATCATATGGCTGATACTGTGCTCAGGGAAATTGCAATGCATTTACTTTGTTAACACCTTGTACCCACATAGAAGCTGCAATGTATTTTGGCTCATTAGTTGACTAATCTTTTGCAGATGGTTCAGACATCAGAGCGCTAATTAACCTGTATTCAGTTTTAGAAGACAGAAATAATTATGATTTACTTAGTGTCAAATTCTTTCTGGAGCTACACTCACATGGTTCCATTGGCTTTAAAGGCAACCAAAGTTAGATGCTGACCACAATACTGTTACAGTAAAGAAGGGAAAATATTCAGCCATCTTCAAATCTACACCTTTGCCTTCTCTTGGACTGGTAGCAAGTTTGACTGCATCTGGATTTTGCTTTTTGAAGACTGGATTCTGCCTGAAGGAGGCTCCCAGTCCTTGTGAAAGCTTCAGTGCTTGGATGGGATCCCAACAGGCAGAGCCATCATGGGCTTGTGGAGGTCAGCACATCCCTCTTGCTCACAGGCTTTTTTAGAATTGCAATGTAAGAAAAGAGCCCCCTTGGTGTGGATTTCTTGGTGTGGTACACAGTGCTACGTGCCCAAATTCTCTGAGATGGGAGCTGCAAGGTCCTTGGCCTTTTTCAAGATCTGTTTTATTGATATTCAAGGTCTGCTGGTGGATGGATTAGCCCTCCATCTCTTCCATGCTTTTTAAAGCCCTCTCACGTTTGTGTCTCACTGTGCTTAGCTTTTTTCCTCTTCTTCATGCAATGCCTACACCAGCATTGCACCTGATACCCAGCATCCAGAAACAAACTGTGCCCATGTGCAGAGCCTATAAAACTCACTGCTGCACATCCTGAGTCAAGCTGCTCCCTCAGATGTTTGCCACTGAAATCAGTGAGAAGTGCGCAGACACGTCTGAAGGCAGACTGTGGCACAGTATGGGTTTTGCAGGCTATCCTAAATCAGATCACTGGTCTTCTTTCTA